CTAGTTTGGGTAATGAAAGGTCTGCGAGAAAAGAACCAAGCTCAGAGAGCACCAAGGACCCCTCGTTTCAAACCTGAGCTACAAATATTCTCCTTTATTAGAGCCTGAATTGTATTTAAATGGCATGACAGCAACCACTCTCATTGGACAGGCTTTGCAGTGAAGAATGAAAATGAAAGATAATTTTGAACAAGTAAGCTGTGTTCCAATATTTGAGGGGCTGCCACAAAGAAGAGGGGTCAGCCTATCCTCCAAATTACCTGAAGGCAGGAGAAGAAGCAATGGAGGGAAACTAATCAAGGATAGAACCAATCCAGAACCAAGCAGAAATTTCCTGACAGGGAGAGCAATTAAAACCAGTGGGACGGCTTGCCTCCAGAAGTAGTGCTCCAACACTGGAGATTTTAAAGAAGAGATTGGACAACCATCTGTCTGAAATGAGTTTCCTGCCTGAGCAGGGAGTTGGACTAGAAGACCTCCACGTCCCTTCCAACTCTGTTATTCTGTTAATCTTTAAGATAGGCAGTTTTGCAATGCTTTGGGTAGCCTTCTTCATCAAGTATCTTCCAAACGTCTTGGATTACTAGCATGGGGGTGGTTGGAATTGTAGTTCAATCGCTCTAAGAAGCGTATTGAATAGGCTTTCCTCTCCCCTACCAAAAAAGAAGCATCTGTTGCAAAGAGCCCCAAAGGTCTACTATCATTTGCCAAATGGAAGAGGTCTTCTTCCTATTTGGCAGGAGCTTCCAGGAGGTCAAAGTGCTGAAGAACAAATAGCTCATTCCCAGATTGACAAGGAGGATGAGGCAGCCAAGTATATACCACAGGTGAACTATCATGCTGAATCCTTAGAAGCTTCCCTACTTAGCTGAAAGGGTTAGATAGGGGGGCAAGGAGACCCCACCATCACCTCTTTGTTACCCTTAGCTGCTTAAGAATTACCACAATGAAGTCTCATCGCTTTGAGCACCTCAAGCAATCTGGCGCCTGCAGTAATTCTCCAGTAAGGAACAAAACACCAAGCAGCCAAGCAGACTCTCCTAGGAAACAAAACATCACTTAGTTAACTGTGGAGGAAGATGTCTGAGCTGTGCAGCACCCACACACGCAACCACAAAGGAACACAGCGCTTCCTGCTCACAGCTCCCTCCATTGCTAACAGCCATACAAAAATTGCTCATCAGGAAATCTATCCAGGCAAGGGCTTAATGACAGCCATATCAGCCTCTCTCTCCACCAAGCACAATTGTTTCATTACAGGTAGTCCACGACTTATGACCACAATTGAGCCCAAAATATCTCTTGCTAAGCAAGACATGTGTTAAGTGAGTTTTGCCCCATTTTATGATCTTTCTTGCCACGGTTGTTAAGGAAATCACTGCCGTTGTTAAGTTAGTCACACGATTGTTACATGAATCTGGATTCCCCACTGACTTTGCTTGTCAGAAGGTCACAAAAAGTGGTCACATGACCCCGGGGCACTGTAACTGTCATAAATACCTGCCAAGTGTCCTAGTTTTGATCACGTGACCATGGTGACACCGCAACACTGCAAGTATGAAAAATGGTCATAACTCACTTTTTCCAGTGAATGGCTGTAAGACAATGACTATCTGTAATGATTTGGGTTCTTGTTCCTGCCATCGCTGCTTGTAACATATCATTCTGCTAGTGCAGTGATGGCAAACCTTCTAGGCTTGGCAATTCAAAAATGCAGAAAATGCCTACCTTGAATCTACCAGTGTATCGTATCATACACACACACACACACACACACACACACACCTCCCCTGGATAAAGGAGACCTCTCCGGACCTCTTCTTCAGACCTCTGGAAGTCTCATGGAGCCTCTGGAAATCACATGAGAATGTTCACACAATTTCCAGACACCTGAGAGGCCCATAGCTATAGGAACCCTGATCACCCAACACCTCTTTTGCTTCCAGTTAAAACTTCCAAATGTCCATTTTGAGCATCTTATAGAAGTGTCAAATCAACCACAGCTTCCATTTGTAGCCCTCTTCTCCCTCCCCCTTGACATCTTCAATGTTGTGTTTACAAAACAAAATCCATTATGGTTGACGGATGCCATAGCTTCATAGTACTTCTTTTTTAAACAGCAATGCTGTGAACAGCTCATCAAAAAACATCCAGAGGGAGAAAGCTTTAGGGCCAGAAGCACCTTTGAAGCATGTGATGGGTGTCAAGCATCAGGGAAATCAGGAAATCCAGGCAGTTCAAATGGGTATAAAGATTTATTGTAAGCTTAAGGTCTCTGTAAGAATCTGAAGTACTAACACTCAAAGCAATTTGGTGGGTAGATAAACAATTCACGGTGGGCTGGAATTAGATCTCTTGTGGGTGCAAAGGGACCCATGACTGATGACATGTTTGACCCTTCCCTCAGGATCAGCCTGGTTATCTCCTACAATGAGATACTCACAAAATGGTTGACTCTCAAGAAGATTGCCAGGGAGGCACGGACAGTAACAAGACAACCAGAAGGCAAAACAGTCTCCTAGATGTTGTCACCATTTCAATGGGACCCTTATGGATCCTGAAGATACCCCTGCCCAAAACTACAATGCCAATGGCTGATACTTTGCTTTCAAATATGCTTTATTAAAAACCAAAGGGAACATTTGGGCACCCAGATTCCTGCAGGTGCTACCTTACCTACCTCTACTTTAGGGAAGCTTGTAGCATTTGATCACAGCCATCGCACTAGCTAAATAACACAGTAAGAACTTCAGTCAATACTCTGTCCAACTCTTCACGACCCCATGGACCATAGCAGCTACCACACACTCCCTCCAGTCTTCCACTCTCTCCCTGAATCTGTTGGAAGCTAAAACATATAAATGGCGGCTAAAATGTATAAAGAATGGTTGCTGGAATTGAATATGTCTAGTTGAATGAAAAGAAGGACTGGGGTGACATGATAGAAGTCTTCCAATATCTCAAGGGCTGCCACAAAGAAGAGGCAGTCAAGCTATTCTCCAAAGCACCTGAGGGCAAGACAAGAAGCAGTGGATGGAAACTAATCAAATGTAGAAACAAGGAGAAATTTCCTGACAGTTAAAACAATTAAACAGGGGACAACTTGTCTTCCAACAGTGGAAGTTTTTAAGAAGAGATTGGACAACCATTTGTCTGAAATGGTATAAGGTTTCCTGTCTGAGCTGGGGGTTGGACTAGAAGATCTCCAAGGTCCCTTCCAACTCTGTTATTCAATTCAATTCAATTCAATTCTAATCTCCCCAAACTCATGCCCACTGTGTCGATGATCTAACCATTTCATCCTCTGCAGTCCTTTTCTCCTTTTGCTGTCCATCTTTCCCAATACCATCAGGATCTTTTCTAATGTGTTCCCTCTTCTCATTTGGGGATCAAAGTATCTGAACTTCAGCTAAAGTATCTGTCCTTTGGAAGGGGCTGGTTTCCTTTAAGACTGATATAGTGAGAAACACTGGTTTTAATGATAGCTCAGCAAATGTGTGGATTGTGTATTCCCCTTCTTTTCTTTCTAACATGAATTCCTTCAGTCCTTAATAGTTTTATTATTTTCAGTGCTAATTAATTCTGGCTTGCTTTGGTAACTGTGTATTGTGTATTTCCTTCAAGAACTTCAGTTATACATGGCTTGCTCCAACACGCCCAGTCTTATTACTTACTACAATCACCCACCAGACAACCTCAAGGTCATAGGTGCAAGATCACACAAAGATTGTCAAAGCTGATTAGCTCCAAGCTAGGCCACCCTGGGTTTTGCTCATGGTTGCCATGACACTAAGCCACAAAGTGGTTGATTTCATCTTTCGGTTTGGTGTAATAATCTACCCATTATGGCTTTGTATTATCTCTAATCAGATCACTATGGCTTCTTTAGCAAATTGTAGCAAAAAATAGAAACAATAAGGATCTAGATGCATTAGTATTGGATATATCCCTTTGAAATTATAATTAGGAAAGTGTAAAGCATGGCTGAAGCTATTAGTCATAATTGATTAAGTCCTGATTTAATAAGCAAAGATATGTGTTTTCTTTAAATGCTAATACACAGCTTCTACGCTTCACAATTCTCATGAGAAAGTAACAAATCTAGGAGGAAGTAGTAATAATATCCAAAGCTATAATGTCCAAAGCTATGATGTATAGCTTGCAAACAAATTAAGTTACTCTTTTTCAGAAATCATTAGCCATGGTTCCTTATTCTTATACAACCAGAATCTATATTTAACTGCAATTTCCTAGGTTCTCCAACTCGGATAAAAGGAGAAGTAATGGGCTTGCAGGCTCATGCAAAAGGCTCATGCCTGTTTGACTTTACAAAGTAGGACTGGAAAAAGTACTAGAGAATTCCTAGAAGCCTGGCACTTAAGACAAATTGGCCATCAATGATACATAGAGATAAACAACATCTACATACTATTCAAAAGAGACAATCAAAAAGCTAAAAGACCACAACACTTCCTGGCCTATATACAATGACAGCAAATCCCTCTCCCTTCTAGCACTGATGATGTTACCTAGTTTGGCAATCAAATGCCTGCAACAAAATAAACCCCACAGAACTATGATCATCAAAACCAGATCAATACAGAAACACACACACACTTTATTAAGACTCCTGAGAGAAAGCTGTGAGAGATGAATGATATTCTCATAAGAAGTGGTGCAAGGAAATAGTGCAAGTAAGCAAGTAGGAAACCTTTTGCCTTGTAAGAGAAAAAAAAAATAGTGGAAAATGTATAGTTATGCCAATATTTTTCACTCAACTTTGTAATAGCCTCTTGATTCCTCCTGCTGTTGTTAACTTTTTGGCAGGAGTTTTGGTGTTCTCTCCCTCATCTACGGAAACAGCTATACTGACATATTTAAATATTTCTTAATTTGAGGGGCTTCCGGCATTGTTCACTGATAAACTTCCTCTTTATGTCAAGACTAAGATCCTTTTGCAATATGCAAACCATCATACCATTTAAAGTATTTTGCTGCATTCTCACTTCCCTGATGTGTAACAGTAAAAGTTATGCTATAAACAAGAGATTGAGTAGTGCAGGAGAAATCTGAAAGGTAAGACAGATTTAATTGTACTTTTTGTTTAAAAAAATCCTCAAAACAAACAAGAAATGACAATGAACTAATATGAAAAAAATAGGAATAGGTTGGATCTCAAATGATCTTCACTCTTTACTCATCCAAATAGCAATTTAACTGTCATGTGCTTCCTGCCGTATGTAAAATATATTAAAATAAGTTACTTTCTCAAAATTTCATACCAAAGTCTGTTTTGTGACTTGGACTTTCAATTGGTTAAATTCTAGTACTAGGATCCAAATTAGAGAATTAATTCTGTGGTTAGATCTGTTTGTACGTAATGTTCAGCGCAAACAGGAGCCCAAAATTGGATAGTAAAAAATTCATAATTTTTGAAGTCAACCATCTCTTCAAATTTCACCTTGTTCTGCAGAGCGGGTTACAAATGCAATTTTAATTTTTTAATGAGTCTGAGCAGAAATTCAATAGTTTCTATATGTGGTGTTCCTTTAACTGCAAGCCACAACATTTATGGCAGAATTTTATACATGTTTATTCAAAAGAGTGTCCAGAGTTCAGTTTTGGAAATACCAGGATTAGTTGCTTTGAAAGGCAGACAAACTGCAGGAAAAAAAAGACCCGGTGTAGATGGCTCACTAATACAAGCTTAAAAATATAAATAAATAAATGTGATTTTACACATTTATGTATATGTTTGTGGTTTCATTTTAATGTTGTAAGCCGCCCAGAATTGTCATGCATCCATCTCATTCCTGAATGAATCTAAGTACTGGAGCCATCTATTTTTAATTAAGCTCTGGTATAAGGCATTAATTGTTTCAATCTTTGCACTAGTTTGTTGTAAATGGCAAATTACCCCCAATGCAAGAAAAAAATGACTCTCAGTAAAAGTCCTGCTCTATTCTTATACTTATTTTGCACCCCATTCAGGGGGGGGAAAGGCAACTTTCATGCCTAAAGTGGGACTAGAACTCACAATCTCCTAGTTTTCTAGTCCAGCACCCTCACCACTGGTCAAATTGCCTCTCAAACAATCAAGTCTTTTTGTTCTTTTACTGAACAAGTACAAGATGGGGCCTACACCTGTTTATTTGTAGAATAAGAGCATTGGAAGGGACCTTTGAGGTCTTCTAGTCCAACCCCCTGGCTCAAGCAAGAGACCCTATAGAATTAATTCAAGTTTCTTAAAAATATATGTAGCTTTATCTCTTCAGGTTTTTCTTTTTTAAAGAGAAATTCTCATTTCAGTGTAAATTTGCCTTTTACTAATAGTTGTACTTTTGGATCCATTAAAACTATTAAACATATGCAGTATATTGCCTGGGTATGTTGCCCGTACACACATTTTCCCACCCCTACAAATGTACTTTTTCCCCCCCTGTAAAGCCTTCATTTTTATTGCATTATATTCATTTAAGGACATCGTTTCCTTAACTTATATTTATACTGTACATTTGGTTTTATTGTTTTGTTCCCCAGCATGAAGGATGGCTAAAAAAAGGTGTTCATAAATTAATACGTTGTACACCAAAATACATTTTTAAAACAGATAGCCTTAAAAGCAGCAAACTAGTTGAAGCTAAAATTTGTTTCCTCAGAAATTTACTAAATTCTGGCTATTCTATCATGTACAGTGGTACCTTGGTACTCAACTGCTTTGAAACTCATCAAATTTGGTACTCAACACATTTTGATCATCCTGGTACTTTCATTTGTTTGGTATTCAACATGCAAGCTAGAATTTGTCAGTGTTGGTTGCCTTGTGACTCACTATCCTTTCTGGGCAAAACAAATGATAACGTGTTAGTCTTGCCCTGTGCACATTCCCTATCTTTGCTTTATGCTCATTTTACATATTTTTATGCTTTTTTTTCTTATCAGTACAGGTAAAATGAAGTTTTTACTTTATTTAATCCAAGTACTTATTTATTTTTAGGTTTATTTCACATGTAAGGTAATGATATACAACCCTATCTTTTTATGCATTGCCTTAAAAATGTGCATTGTCTTTGGTTTGAGAATGCATTAAATTTATTTACATTATTCCCTATGGGAAGAATTTGTTTAGTACTCATAGTTTTTTATGCTCATTGTACCACCCGCAACCAATTAAATAAGTACCGAGATACCACAGTATCACCTAGTACAGGGGTTCCCAACCAGAGGTGGGATTCTACTGGTTTGGACCGATTTGGGTAAACTGGTAATTCGGGTGATCATTTGGCCCCGCCCACCTGCCCTAGTCTGTTCTTTATTTCTGTGTTTTGCAGCTCAAGCTGATTCGTGTGGCACAGCAAATTGCCGTGCCTCAGCTGTTTTACTCACCGGGACTGCAGCAGAAGGTAAGTATTAGAGCTGAAATGATGAGTTTGCAAACGCTGTGTGCGCGCTCACCAAACCAGTTGTTAACACTGGTTGAATCCCACCCCTGGTCCCAACCCCTGGTCCCTGGACCGGCATTGGGCTGCTGGCATGCCAGAGAGCATGCCGTGCAAACATGTGAAGCCCCATCCCATGGGATGCAGGCAGCACGTGAAACCACACCAGTTCTGGTTCACAGAAAAACCTCTCTCCCCGGAATGGCTCCCTGGTGCCCAAAAGCTTGGGGGAGGGGTCTGTTGATCTAGTACAAGGGTTGGTTTATAAGTGTTTATTGTTGCTAGGCCTTCAATAGGCAAAATGTGGTGCTGTTATTAATCCCTACCTTTTTATCTTCTTCATGCCACGAAAGAGATCCCCAGTATTTTGACAATGGCGACCAAGGCTGTCGTTCTAATGTTCATCTATGGACAACTGTGGTGGAACCAAACTACTGGAAAGACAGAAGGGCCTGCAGGCTTGTTGCTCGATGCTGAACCCCACAGCTTTCCATCTCAAGGAAGTCAATCAAAAGTCCCTACCAAAAATGAACAGCAAACACCATCCAGCAAGCCCCTGCTTCCTACCACAACAAAAGAACCTAAACTTGCAGATGAACATTTAATAGTCGCCGTGATTATTGGGGTCGTCTTGCTGCTCATGATTGTTATTATCGTTGCCATCTTCCTTTGGAGGCAACGGAAAAGGTCAAATGTACCTCTACCCCACTGGGCAGGACGCTCCCCGTTTGCTGATGGAGACGTGCCCGAACTTATTGTAGATAAGGAACCGGTACAAGGCATAAAACGGATGTCCGTTCTCTCTCTTTTGCCATGGAAATTTAGCAAGGACACACAACTGCTGGACAATGCAGAAGGACAACTGTCTGAATCAAGGAAGACCTTGGACGTTCCACAGGGATCTGGTGAGGCAGGTACAGAGAGCGAGTCAAGCCACACTGCCACGGCAACCTTGGATTCTTCAGACAGCAGCCAACCCCAAATTTCCGAGGAACCAAACAACTTAACTGACATTTCCCTCCAGCCTGAGAGTCCAAAGCTACAAGATCCTCCTTCGACCAGCTGGCCCAGTGGAGTCAATGGGGATATTTTTATCCCTGAATCTCTTCCTATGGAACAACATGTAGAAATCCAGGGTTCTACACTGCCAGATATGGCCCAACAAAGTGTTGATGAAGCAGTGCTACTTCCTCCACCGCCAGAAGATTTTTTGTGTCATTGATTTTTATAGATGTTGGCGCAAGTAATTGCTTCCTTCTGGGTTTATTTTTTTAAAATATGCTGAAAAAAATGGAATACATCCATTTACCTTCATCTTTTCATGCAGGTAGTACTCGACTTATGACCACAATTGGCACAATTTCTCTTGCTAAACAAGGTGGTTGTTAAATGAGTCATGCCCAATTTTATGACCTTTTTTGCCACCATTATTAACCAAATTTATCCATTTATCTAACCATATTTATTTAACCATGTGTCTGAAATAGTATAGGGTCTTCCTGTCAGAGCAGGGGGTTGGATTAGAAGGCCTCCAAGGTTCCTTCCAACTCTGTTATTCTATGTTCTGAATCATCACAGTTAACTGATTCACATGATCATTAAGTTAATTCAGCTTCTCCCATTGCTTTTGCTTGTCAGAAACCATCTGGGAACATCCAAAATAGTGATCACATGACCCTGGGACACCACAACTATTGTACATACCATACATGCCAGTTCCCAAGTGCTGGAATTTTGATCGTGGGACTGTGGGGAATGCTGCGACTGTCATAAGTGTGAGGACTGGTTGTAAATCACTTTTTTCAGTGCTGTTATAACTTCAAACGGTCAATAAATGAATGATGGTAAGTTGAGGAATACATGTACTTCCAAAGATGCTTTCAGGAAGATTCATTCCTCAGCCAAACATTCTCTCGGTCTCTGATATTCCAGAGTGAGCTTTGGTTGCAAAGACAGATTTCAAGATCATCTACCCCATGGATTTGTTCCTCCTAAATTCTTATGCTTGGAAAAAACTCATTTTTTTATGAGGGTTTTTTTTTAAAGCCTTTATCACCCTGGAATCCTTTTAATCTGGTGTGAACTTTTTCTAATCAAAAAACCTGCACTTAACGTGACCATTTAGTGCTTTTAAGTAATCACTCAGCAATGTAGAAGTTTGACATTGGTGCCCGCACTTTGAAGTTGACCCTTTTGAGAAATTTTCTCTTTTGAAATTACAGCACCACTTCTGGCTTAAACAGTCATTTTGAATTTCATAATTCTTTTCCTTCCCTTAATTATTACCCTTAGATGTTTGGCTGTGTCCTGTGTATCCACAAAGTTATCAAGAATTTATTCTCTCCTAGTTTCCATTTTGCTTGAAAGCCTATTTATATCTTATCTAAAAAGCTGTGCCCCCCCACTCCTTTTTTTTTGGCCCAAAAAAGCACCTGGCCACAAACTGAGCTATTCTCAGTTTCCAAATGCCTATATGTTGGCCTATTGCGATACATGGTATTCTATTACACACATTAGGTGGCAATGATAAGAATATATATTAGCTGCAGCTTTAGTGTGTGATGGGCTTACAGGTTGCAGAAAACTATGTATTTGTGCAATTGCATTTCGATTCATACATAGAGAAGCATGCCAATTATTCTAAGTTATTAATGAGAAGGGATCAGATTATTAACTTTCAAGAGATCAGGATTTATTTCACTACTAAAAAGAGCCACCACTTTATTCTCTCACAAGGACAATAATTTCTACATGCACTTCAGGAAAGATTTTAGCCCAGTTGTCACAAAGCATTAGAAACTTTAAAGCCAGCTTTCCTCAAGTTGGCTGGCAAATTGTAGGAGCGGTCATCCCAAAATATTTGAAGGATATCAAATTGGAGAAGACTGGATGCTATAAATTAAGAACCATAAAGAGATTTTCCCTTAATGTTGTTCAACAAATGTTTGCAATTATTTTGTTAAGCTAGCCTGGGAAGTATTTTGTTTGGGAGAATTTTTACTAAAGGAATGCTACAGGTGATCAGAAGCAAAATTTGGGAAGTCTGGTCTTTAGCCAGGCAGGAGATACAGAGACCAAATTGTTGTCTTCAGTAGGTCACTGAGAAATGTATGAATGACACAGGAAAGAAGATGGTATGTTTCTTGCTACAGACAAAGTGCACAATAAAATGAATAAGCCTGGATGATTAAATGTTTTATGGAGACACAAAGTTGAAAGTTGATGGCTGAATGAGATAAGAGGGGAATATGATGGAAGGAAACCCAGTGTGAGAATAAATAGCATATTTGGTTCAACATTGAGCAGAAGGTAAGAGACAAAACTGATATTCCATTGCTTCTTTAATATAGTTATCAAGAATGTTTTTTGTGACATTAGAAATATATTGGGCAGGAAAATGAAAACACAGTACAGCTAATCCTGTGTTCTTGGAACAGTTGATAGTAACATTTAAAACAGCAATGAATAGACGAATCTGTTTACTTAAGACAGGAAAATGGATGGAGAAATATTAAGACATGCAAATACTGGTAAAAAGATACAGGCAGTCCTCGACTTATGACCACAGTTGAGCCCAACATTTCTGTTGCTCAGTGCTAAGACATTTAAGTGAGTTTTGCTACATTTTACAACCTTTCTCACCACAGTTGTTAAGTGAATCACTGCAGTTAAGTTAATAACACAGTTGTTAAAATGAATCTGGCTTCCCCATTGACTTTGCTTGCCAGAAATTACAAAAAGTCATCACAAGACCCTGGGAGTCTGCAACGGTCATAAATATGAGTCAGTTGTCAAGCATCTGAATTTTGATCATGTGACCCTGGAGATGTTGTAACGTTCGTAAATGTGAAAAACAGTCATAAGTTATTTTTTTTCCAGTGCTGTTACGGTCAGAACACGAACTGCTGTAAGTTGAGGATTACCTGTAGTTGTAAGCAATGAGTAACAAGAAATTAAAATGCCTTGTTTAGGAGCATGTTTTTGGCCATTCTGCTATGGTTAGGCCAAGAGAAACAAACATTTTTGCAATGGAAATGGGACTCTTAAGTGCACACAAGGACAAGAAGTGATAATGTCTAGAATAAGTATGGACCAACTATGACAGTGAGGAAGTAACACACTGGGGTGGTTTGGAAAAAGAATAAACGAGGATTCAATCACAAAATAGATGCATGAAGGAAGAGTAAATAGGCTGAGAGAACACGAGAAAGTAGCAATTGGGTAGCATTAAGAAAGTCCTGATTTTTCCTCTCATGCCTTCAATTATTATTCAATAGTATTGAAATATTATTCCTTGTTTTTTTCCTGTGCTCTGAATAACCCTGCTTGTTTTGAAAGGGAATAGCTTGATGCGGTATGCATATATGCAAAAAAAGAGGTTTAAACAGTATCATGACCTAGAGGACTTGCCATCATTGACAGAAATATAAATTAAGTGTCATATCACAGAATGCTGCAGCGGAATATCAGGCCATCTATCGGTCAAAATGAAGTATCAGTGGGCTATACAGTGAAAATAACCCCAAACATACAAGGGAGTGAAGAACAATAAATGCAATGGTTTGGTCTAGATCTAAACTTGTGGCAGGATCTGAATCAAAGCCAGCAAAGAGAGATGGCAAAATCCTCAAATGTTACTACGGTAAGTCGAAATAACTGGCCATGGAGGAATGGGCTAAAATTCTTACCCAAGGATGTGAAAGACTGATCCTAAATCAGAAGGGGCACCTAGTGCACTTATCGCAACTGCAAGGAAAGGCCATACAACCAGTTACTGAACCTAAGGAAGTAATTGCTGTTTCACAGTGGTATGTCCCAGGCTGGATAATTTTGTAAAGAAATGTATGAAGCAAGCCCTGAATGATGGTGGTGCTTGTTTACTCAGACTTCCTTTACATATCAGCAGGACCCCTATAAACCTCTGATAACATCTGGTGATAAAGATCGGGGAGGGGGGTGGTGAGAGAAAATGGAAAGAGGGCAGCTACTCTTCCCTAAAACTGTACATTAGAGCAGGGGTCTCCAACCTTGGCAAGTTTAAGCCTGGAGGACTTCAACTCCCAGAATTCCCCAGC